TGTAGAATACTTAATTTTCACTTGGAAATTATTTTCGCTGAAGGAATGATTCAGTGAAAATAAAATCCAGCAAATATACCAATTTTCATATATTTTATTTAACTCGGCAAAAGTCAGTGAAAATAAATTACATGTACAACAAAACACCCAAAAAGTCTTTTCAGCAAAAATTAATTCCAGCTAAGATAAAAAGTATTTTACAGTAAAAAAAAAAATTACAGTATAAGTTTGTATATGTATATCTTCACCACCCCCCCCCCTCCCCTGGACATGAATGTTTTTTTAAATTCTGGAGCAGATAGTTCACCCAGCAGTGTTAATCGGAGTAAAGTCAGTCTGCAGAATGGTTGGTACTTGTAACTAGCAACAAGTGCTTTCATTGCTGGGAATGTCAAAATTGTGTCTGATCCACGTCCAATTGAAATTCGTCATAATTACCTAATTTTCATATTAATTAGTACTGATGTCGCTATTAAAAGTTGTAGGTGTTTACCATTAAAAGCTAGAATCGCAAAAAAAAATCCTGCAAGGATCAATAACAGAAAAAAAATTCTGATGTCTATTTCTTAGGTAAAAAGTAAGCTTGAACAACCTTTTATTGATCATGAGACATCAGGCAGACACGCCAGTTCAACTGGAGGTAACACAATCTGAACTACAAATTTATAGAGGCAATAATCCAAATCAACAAAAACAATGACCAGCTAAGAAAGAAAATAGAAACAGAATGGATTGATAAATTAAAAAACATTATCATCTCACATGCTCGACCTCAAATCATAACTGTGATGGCGCTATTCACAACCCTTGAATAGCGCCACCTATCTCTCAGTGTATATATAACATACGCAGCAGCTGAGGCGAGCGTTACATTTTATTGAGGGGGGGCAAGGGTTATTTTCGTTCAACGTAATTGCAATATTTTTTAAACGTAAATAGAAAAAATAAATTCCGTAATTCTGTAATCACAGGCTAGACGTACATTGTAATCAATCAAATATTTTTTTCGTACACTGTAAAAATGTGTCATTTTTCTCGTACGTACAAAAATTCACACCCAAATAAAAAAATCGTAAAGAATAATCCAAGGAAATTACATTTTAGAAACTGTAAAACGACTAGGTGACACAATTCACTACAAAATTGAATGTCAAGACGTAAAAGGCCCTCCAGCCGAATGAAGAGCATTACGAGGGTAATATGCGCATGCGCATGCGGAGAATTTGAGTCTGAGAGCTCTTCGGACCATTCAATGTTCCATTTGTTAACACTGTAAACTGTAAAAACGTCTTTTTTTTCTTCGTAAATTGTGAAAAGCCCTTTTTATTTCCCGTAAAACCGTACCAGCTACCCCCCTTGCCTCCCCTCTTTATTAGCACAGTTGTTTCGAGATGTGTATCTGTTCTCGCCGACTTGGAACTTTTACTCGTCCCAAAACATACCGCTATAATTGCCGTTAGCGTCCTCACAAGCCACACTTAAACTATTAGTTGATTCGATTCAACAACAAAATTCCCCTGTATGTGGCATAATTTAGGTTAGCGAGTTGTAGATTTCAAATGTGTGCGACCATATAAGGCAAAGCTTACAGGTAGGCGAATTGTCGAGGCACGGATGGGGGTCTTATTTCAAGTTTGTTCGCTCGAATCCAGAATGCAGCCCCATCTTTCCCGAAACAAGAAGACCACTTTTAAGTTAATACGAAATCAGTATTGTCAGAGCGGTTATTAAAACATTACAGGTTGACCCCTTTTCTAAAACCGGAAATTAGTAAGGAGACCGTGCTCAGTACATCAATACAAACCCTTGAATACGTGTCACAATATCTCCCAATATTGCATGGCAATGAACACTAACCTGAGTGACCGCATTTCCGCATGCAGCTCCGATCCAGTATCATTTTTAATGTCAACGCGGATCTCTAATGACGCTAGATTTGGCAACCAATTGCTGAGAGCCTTGACGATGTTTGCACCACCATGACGACAGATCGATAACCGGCGGCAATGACATGTACAATGGAACGTTTGAATACTGAGCAATATATGTTTCTATTGAAATTAAACCGACCTACTCGATATAAGGTAATATCCAGTTAGAGCATCCCATCCTACGGACGCAGCAATGCCTGTTCTCTCCTCATTCCGAGAATCCTGAGTGGAGTTTCACAAAACATAGCAACCAAGGTAGCCTGGCATGTAAGCGTGAGTAGGCCCTCGCCGGCCGAACGGCATCAGAACTCACTAACTTTGGGTTTGGAGCATCGCGGACGGCGCAACGCACGCGACCTCGTCAGGTTACAACCAAAGCCAATGTTGTTATTTGGGATAACACTTGAACCGCAATCATGCAAGCAAACAGAGATTACGTCAATCATCTTTGAAGCACGTACGCTAACTGTGTCGTTCTACGTTGGCAAATCAAAGCTGAAAAACAGTTTGATTCGGTTTAAAAGGCGATTACTGATCATTGGAATCACCAACAACACTGCTAACAAACGGAAATTATAAACCCAGTCAATCAAAAAAGTACTACTCGGTGGACACTCATCGGATTTCTTCACATTTTGATGCAGATGCAGATGCGGTATAAATGATGAACTCTAGGATTTTTTTAAATAAATTTACGCATTCTAGAGATTTTACTGCTCGAATGTAAAAACGGACACCATATTCTAGTGAATCACATACTTGTAGACCTGTTCAATAAAGCAGAAAATTTGCATAAAATTATTTTGGCTTCTTAGTGTTTTTCGATGAACACATTTTCAATAGCCCTTTTAAATTTCTTTACAATACCGATTCATAGTCTCAATAAATGATTTATCACGTGACTAACTGAAGGTT